CCATAATTCGTGCCAAAGGTGACCAATTCAAACAAATCTAAACTTATTCTAAAATTTGATGATATTTCCGACATTTTTTGCTTTCATTCAATAAAATTTAAAAAAAAAAAAAATAAAAATTATGGTGTTAGACTTTGTTGCCTTGTGAACCCCTGTTATGTCTAAAATTTTTATTTCGATGAGTTACAAACGGAATAACGAACCGTGTATACCCTCCATACTATGTATGGTGGAGGATATAAAAATGATAAATTCAAAAATTTGTTCTGTGAAAAATGTCTGACGTCGACTACTTCCTAAAAACCTAATATTTTTAAAAACATGTTCCGTTCAGTGCCTGCAATTTTTTCGATGTCATAAAGGACAAATCGGTTATCGTAGTAAAAGTTTAAAAATTTTTTCAATTCTGGAACAGACGAAATATTAGAATGTTTGTTTCATATATAAATACAAAATATTTTTAAGAAAAAGTCGAATTTATCTTTTATTGTTTAATCGAAATTTATCGAAATGAAATAATGTTTTATTTATCGACAATAATGGCCCTGTTCTATAACCTGCAAGAATGTACTAGTTGACCACCGTTTTCGATATCATAGAGGGAAAATCGATTATCGTAGTAAAATCTTTTACATTCTTGCAGTTTTGAAGCCGACCAAATGTTATATTTTGTTTAGATTGCTAAAAATTGGACATTTTTTGTTATCGAAATTTATCGAAATCACTTTTACATGTTTACACCGTTTTTAATAACAAATGATGTGTGTATATATGTATATTTGCTCTATGTATAATAATTGGTATTGGAATTTTGGCATAATTTCCCGATTTTTTCGTTACACGTTAGCTAGAGATAGAGATATGATAAGTGGGGATGGTATTCTTTTGATTTTTTTTCTTTATTTTGTTTTTTATTAAATTTTATTAATTTGTATAATTTGATTTTTGGTTTTAAATTTTAGTTTTGTTTTGATTATTATTATTTTAATTTAAGGACTTCTACTACAATAAGGTTAAATACATACAAAAAAGATATATATCTAATAATAATAAAAATAATAGTGATAATAAAAAACATTAAAAGAAAAACATATATGTATATTTTGTCTGTTTGTTTTCGATAAAAAAGTTATGACATTGACATATTTGGGATGTTGTTGAATAAGTTTTGGTTTTTTTATTTTTCATATTTTTGGGGGAAGGAATAAAAAAGTTGAAAGGGTCGGGCGGTCAGGAAGGAATAGTTTCATTTAGTAGGGTAGTGGTGGTGGGGTAGTTCATGTCTTTTCTTTCGGTTTTCTTTGCTGCTTCTGCTGTGGTTGTTGCAGTTGTTGTCTCTCTTCATCGAACTTAAATTCGTTCGGTTACATAAACTTTGGCAGTGGCTGGAGCATTTGAACGACGAACGGCAACAGAGACAATAATGCCTATCGCCACCAAGACAATGCCCAACGAATTCATGATATAGTGTTCGATCTCGGAACTGCGGGTGCTGGAAAAGAGGAGAAAAATAAAGAAAAAATATTAAAAGAGAAGAAAGAAAAAAATATTTTAATGATCTGAGATTATTGGTTTGATGGCGCCCAACACATTTTTGGTATAATAATCTAAAAAGTAACTTAAAAATCCATGACCGTAGACACCCCAAGAAATGTCAATAATTCAGGACTAGCAAAAGATCCGAAAAAGTTCTTGAAAATTCAAATCTGAATAAAGTCATAAAAAATCCAAGGCTAAAAATCCAAAGTCCTTAATGTCTTAAAGAATCAGCGGCTTGAAAAAGTCAAGAAATAAAAAAGTCTAGAATTAAAAAAATATCTAGGTTTTTGAAAAAAAATCAAGAACTTAAAAAAATCTACAGCTAAGGGTCTTTAAAAACATCGTGGAATATTTGCAATTACTTCTTAAAAAGTCCTCCATAAATGGTAACTTAAAAAATTTACTGTCGACGGCAAAGGTGACCAATTCAAACAAATCTAAACTTATTCTAAAATTTGATGATATTTCCGACATTTTTTGCTTTCATTCAATAAAATTTAAAAAAAAAAAAAATAAAAATTATGGTGTTAGACTTTGTTGCCTTGTGAACCCCTGTTATGTCTAAAATTTTTATTTCGATGAGTTACAAACGGAATAACGAACCGTGTATACCCTCCATACTATGTATGGTGGAGGATATAAAAATGATAAATTCAAAAATTTGTTCTGTGAAAAATGTCTGACGTCGACTACTTCCTAAAAACCTAATATTTTTAAAAACATGTTCCGTTCAGTGCCTGCAATTTTTTCGATGTCATAAAGGACAAATCGGTTATCGTAGTAAAAGTTTAAAAATTTTTTCAATTCTGGAACAGACGAAATATTAGAATGTTTGTTTCATATATAAATACAAAATATTTTTAAGAAAAAGTCGAATTTATCTTTTATTGTTTAATCGAAATTTATCGAAATGAAATAATGTTTTATTTATCGACAATAATGGCCCTGTTCTATAACCTGCAAGAATGTACTAGTTGACCACCGTTTTCGATATCATAGAGGGAAAATCGATTATCGTAGTAAAATCTTTTACATTCTTGCAGTTTTGAAGCCGACCAAATGTTATATTTTGTTTAGATTGCTAAAAATTGGACATTTTTTGTTATCGAAATTTATCGAAATCACTTTTACATGTTTACACCGTTTTTAATAACAAATGATGTGTGTATATATGTATATTTGCTCTATGTATAATAATTGGTATTGGAATTTTGGCATAATTTCCCGATTTTTTCGTTACACGTTAGCTAGAGATAGAGATATGATAAGTGGGGATGGTATTCTTTTGATTTTTTTTCTTTATTTTGTTTTTTATTAAATTTTATTAATTTGTATAATTTGATTTTTGGTTTTAAATTTTAGTTTTGTTTTGATTATTATTATTTTAATTTAAGGACTTCTACTACAATAAGGTTAAATACATACAAAAAAGATATATATCTAATAATAATAAAAATAATAGTGATAATAAAAAACATTAAAAGAAAAACATATATGTATATTTTGTCTGTTTGTTTTCGATAAAAAAGTTATGACATTGACATATTTGGGATGTTGTTGAATAAGTTTTGGTTTTTTTATTTTTCATATTTTTGGGGGAAGGAATAAAAAAGTTGAAAGGGTCGGGCGGTCAGGAAGGAATAGTTTCATTTAGTAGGGTAGTGGTGGTGGGGTAGTTCATGTCTTTTCTTTCGGTTTTCTTTGCTGCTTCTGCTGTGGTTGTTGCAGTTGTTGTCTCTCTTCATCGAACTTAAATTCGTTCGGTTACATAAACTTTGGCAGTGGCTGGAGCATTTGAACGACGAACGGCAACAGAGACAATAATGCCTATCGCCACCAAGACAATGCCCAACGAATTCATGATATAGTGTTCGATCTCGGAACTGCGGGTGCTGGAAAAGAGGAGAAAAATAAAGAAAAAATATTAAAAGAGAAGAAAGAAAAAAATATTTTAATGATCTGAGATTATTGGTTTGATGGCGCCCAACACATTTTTGGTATAATAATCTAAAAAGTAACTTAAAAATCCATGACCGTAGACACCCCAAGAAATGTCAATAATTCAGGACTAGCAAAAGATCCGAAAAAGTTCTTGAAAATTCAAATCTGAATAAAGTCATAAAAAATCCAAGGCTAAAAATCCAAAGTCCTTAATGTCTTAAAGAATCAGCGGCTTGAAAAAGTCAAGAAATAAAAAAGTCTAGAATTAAAAAATATCTAGGTTTTTGAAAAAAAATCAAGAACTTAAAAAAATCTACAGCTAAGGGTCTTTAAAAACATCGTGGAATATTTGCAATTACTTCTTAAAAAGTCCTCCATAAATGGTAACTTAAAAAATTTACTGTCGACGGCAAAGGTGACCAATTCAAACAAATCTAAACTTATTCTAAAATTTGATGATATTTCCGACATTTTTTGCTTTCATTCAATAAAATTTAAAAAAAAAAAAAATAAAAATTATGGTGTTAGACTTTGTTGCCTTGTGAACCCCTGTTATGTCTAAAATTTTTATTTCGATGAGTTACAAACGGAATAACGAACCGTGTATACCCTCCATACTATGTATGGTGGAGGATATAAAAATGATAAATTCAAAAATTTGTTCTGTGAAAAATGTCTGACGTCGACTACTTCCTAAAAACCTAATATTTTTAAAAACATGTTCCGTTCAGTGCCTGCAATTTTTTCGATGTCATAAAGGACAAATCGGTTATCGTAGTAAAAGTTTAAAAATTTTTTCAATTCTGGAACAGACGAAATATTAGAATGTTTGTTTCATATATAAATACAAAATATTTTTAAGAAAAAGTCGAATTTATCTTTTATTGTTTAATCGAAATTTATCGAAATGAAATAATGTTTTATTTATCGACAATAATGGCCCTGTTCTATAACCTGCAAGAATGTACTAGTTGACCACCGTTTTCGATATCATAGAGGGAAAATCGATTATCGTAGTAAAATCTTTTACATTCTTGCAGTTTTGAAGCCGACCAAATGTTATATTTTGTTTAGATTGCTAAAAATTGGACATTTTTTGTTATCGAAATTTATCGAAATCACTTTTACATGTTTACACCGTTTTTAATAACAAATGATGTGTGTATATATGTATATTTGCTCTATGTATAATAATTGGTATTGGAATTTTGGCATAATTTCCCGATTTTTTCGTTACACGTTAGCTAGAGATAGAGATATGATAAGTGGGGATGGTATTCTTTTGATTTTTTTTCTTTATTTTGTTTTTTATTAAATTTTATTAATTTGTATAATTTGATTTTTGGTTTTAAATTTTAGTTTTGTTTTGATTATTATTATTTTAATTTAAGGACTTCTACTACAATAAGGTTAAATACATACAAAAAAGATATATATCTAATAATAATAAAAATAATAGTGATAATAAAAAACATTAAAAGAAAAACATATATGTATATTTTGTCTGTTTGTTTTCGATAAAAAAGTTATGACATTGACATATTTGGGATGTTGTTGAATAAGTTTTGGTTTTTTTATTTTTCATATTTTTGGGGGAAGGAATAAAAAAGTTGAAAGGGTCGGGCGGTCAGGAAGGAATAGTTTCATTTAGTAGGGTAGTGGTGGTGGGGTAGTTCATGTCTTTTCTTTCGGTTTTCTTTGCTGCTTCTGCTGTGGTTGTTGCAGTTGTTGTCTCTCTTCATCGAACTTAAATTCGTTCGGTTACATAAACTTTGGCAGTGGCTGGAGCATTTGAACGACGAACGGCAACAGAGACAATAATGCCTATCGCCACCAAGACAATGCCCAACGAATTCATGATATAGTGTTCGATCTCGGAACTGCGGGTGCTGGAAAAGAGGAGAAAAATAAAGAAAAAATATTAAAAGAGAAGAAAGAAAAAAATATTTTAATGATCTGAGATTATTGGTTTGATGGCGCCCAACACATTTTTGGTATAATAATCTAAAAAGTAACTTAAAAATCCATGACCGTAGACACCCCAAGAAATGTCAATAATTCAGGACTAGCAAAAGATCCGAAAAAGTTCTTGAAAATTCAAATCTGAATAAAGTCATAAAAAATCCAAGGCTAAAAATCCAAAGTCCTTAATGTCTTAAAGAATCAGCGGCTTGAAAAAGTCAAGAAATAAAAAAGTCTAGAATTAAAAAAATATCTAGGTTTTTGAAAAAAAATCAAGAACTTAAAAAAATCTACAGCTAAGGGTCTTTAAAAACATCGTGGAATATTTGCAATTACTTCTTAAAAAGTCCTCCATAAATGGTAACTTAAAAAATTTACTGTCGACGGCTAGAAATTACATTAACTTTAAAAATCAAATAAAATATTGTTGATGACTCCCCGGAAAGTCTTAAAAAGCCCAACTAGAGAAATGGATGGCGCCCAATAAAAAAATCTTGAAAAAATGAAAAAAAAAATCAAGATTTAAAAAAATTCAAAAATTAAAAAAATCTATAGCTAAAGGTCTTTAAAAAAATTCACAGAACAGGTAAAATTATTTCTTAAAAGTTTTCGACAAGAGTCTGAAGGTCTTTTAATAAATCCACGACTAGAGGACCTTAAAGAGCCCTAAAAAATTCACTTCTATACGTACGATAAGCCTTTTAAAAATCCTAAAAAGTCTTAAAAACCAACTAGCGGAATGGCGCCCAATTGAAAATTCTAGAAGAAAATTAAGAATTAAAAAAAATCTACAGCTTAAGGACTTTTAAAAAAATTCAAGGAATAGGTAAAATTATTTCTAAAAAACCATCGGTAAATGGTTTCTGAAAAAATCAACGCTCGAAGAATGGGTCATATTGTCCAAGACTAGACAACCTTAATATTTAAAAAATCTATTGTTAGAGGTCCTTAAAGAGTTCTAAAAAATGCACTTCTATATGTATGATAAGCCTCTTAAAAATAAAAAATCCTTAAATAAACCCCTAAAACGTTTTAAAAATCAACTAGAGGAATGGCGCCCAATTAAAAATCCTTGAAAAAAGGATTAACAAAAAATCTACAGCTAAAAAATGCATGACATATGCAAAATAATTTCTTAAAAAGTACTTGAAACCATTTGGTTTTTGAAAAACTTACTCTCGAAGGAAATGTCTGATGGTCTTTTAAAAAATCCAAAACTAGAAGACCTTAAAATTTAAAAAAGCTATGGTTAGAAGTCCTTAAAGAGTCCTTAAAATTCACTTCGATATGTCTGATAAACACCTTAAAAAATTCACGGCTATGTGTCTAATGGCCTTTTAAAACCCCGGTGCTAACGGTCACTTTAAAAAACCAGGGCTATATGACTGATGGGCTATTTCAAAAAATGGCTACATGAAAATCCACTGAAGGAGATCGGTGTATTATACCCTCAGTCATATGTCTAGAGAGGGTATATATCATTTGATACGGCCAAAACGTGCCTAATCGAAATAACGGTTTTAGACCCTAGGTCTTTTTTGACCAAATCCGTTTCCGGACATTTGGAGTCGATCTAGCGATGTCCGTTCGTCTGTCTATGTGGCTGACTGGTGCGCACAATAACTCTCGAAGGGAGTTTCCGATTTGCTCCAAACTTAGTACATCGTAATATTATTATAAAAGTTAGATCGAGTTCGGAGATGGACATTATCGGTCCACACCTACTGGAACGAAATTTCCAAAAAAAAAAAAAAAAAAATATTCACGAAGCTCATAAAACGCGAACTTGACAATTCAGAATTGGTATATTTCTATATTTCCAAAAACAAATGATCTGTTATAAATATGGTAGAGATCGGACCATTTCTTCTGGTACCTCCTCCACAAAGGGTCAACATTTTGAATAAATATAACTCTTACAAAATATCTTATAAGAGTCCGATTGTTTTCAAGCCACACATCACAATATTTTTATTAACCCAAGGTCTGGTGTGAAGATGGAAGATATCGGTCCACACCTTCTGGTACCTCCCCCACAAAGGGTCAATGTTTTGAATAGCCATGAAGCTCAGAAAACGCGAAATTGGCTATATTTTCTCAATATTTCCATCATCACAAGATCTCTTATAAAGATGGCAGAGGTCGGACCATTTCTTCTTGCCAAACCTGGCACGTCGAAATATTTATATCAAATTTATTTTAGTCCGATACGAAATGGACAATATTTGTTAATTTCTTTGGAGTAGAGGGTTAACAATTCGAATAATCATAACAGAAGTCAAAATATACTTAAATAATCGAACATTGGCTGAGGGTATACACCTGTCGGCTAAACCTACTGATACTTTTTGGCTTGTTTTTCTAATATTTAATCATATTTATAGCATAATTTCACTATCAACATAAAATGATTATTGAATAAATGAAAATTTTTATTATTGAGCGCCTAAAAGTATGCTTTAAACTTCTAGAGACAATTGCTGAAAACGTCACTTTACTCTTAACATTAATATCATATCATCAGAATTAAGGTGAGAATACGTAAAATGCCTTTTTGACTGGCTTAAGCCATCGACTGGCTTCTTCGTAGAGGGACAAAGGAGTTTTAGGTTGACTTTGTTCGATTTTGTCCCTATGTTCCTCTGTTCTTTTCCGAAAAAGCTAGCCGATGACTTAAGCCAGTCAAAAAAGCTATTTACGTTTTATGTATTCTGACCTTTAGCCTCCAACCTTCAACATCTCTGGTTTTGAATTCGATCCGAACTCCTTTGATCCAAAACACATTAAATTTTATTCCAACCCCAAAACCTGTGATTTTCTTTCAATCTACCAATCCTATTGTCTATATATTAAAGTATATAGCAGATATTCTTACCTGATTGCTGTATCGCCACTATCGCCGCCAATCATTTGACGTTCCTTCTCAACCAGACCGGTGACGCAGGTCGCAATGGCCATCATGAAATTGGCTAAGCCAAAGCTGGCATGGATTGGCACCATGGTGGCACGGCAATTGTAAGTGCGATTCTCACAGCATAATAATATCAAAAAGCTGCAATCGACAACAGCAACCACAACAACAATACCAACAACATGCAAAAAAAAAGAAGATCAAAAGTGAAATAAATATGAAATCCGACATGGCTAATTTAGCATTTGAAATCTGTGCAAAACGTACCTGAAGAAACCGATCACAAATTGCATGGCAAACATGCCCATTGTCACGAAACCCAGCCATGTGTGCAGGCTGTAGAAGTTCGGTTTCGGCGGCTCCGAGAGATTGTGCGAATCGAATACGGACAAGAATCCCAAAGCGATGCATGGAATGGCGCATGCATGGAACAGCATGTGAACCAGTTTCACATAGATGTGTTTCAGGCAGCGGCACAGGCGATACAAAAGAATTGCTGGCGGGGTGGAGAAGAAGATTAGGTTCGATTTCCAAAACAAAATCATAATTAGCACTTACAAAATCCTGAGAATGTTATGAAACCGGCCACCATTAAAACGGGATGTAAATTGAATTGTAGCTCTGGATTTTCCGACCATGCAAAACCGCCACGATAGAATATGACCCAGAAGAGAGTGAGCACCAGCACGCCCACCAACAGAATGGTGGACAAGATCACAATTAGTAAATACTCAAACCATGAGCCGCAATTCCAGGCATTTTCAGGATCTTCTTCATAGCGTCTGAAAATAGAAAATGGAGGAGAAATTGTTAAGCAATTTGGTAGAATATTTACAAATTTTACATGCGTCGAGGGGATCTATGATGACCTCCTCTTCGTATAACATCATTTAGTTCTTTGACAAATTCGTTGTTTATTTGCATTCTCCTTTGATAGCGTCGTATTTTTCGAAACCAGGAAAATTCTCTCAAGAAACACATGCCAATTATGGGAAAAATATTTTCATAGTCTTTTTTTATTTTTCAGACTTGAAATTAAACAAAAATTTCAAAATATCAAGGAATCAAAGTAGTTTTGGATCTTTATGTCAAATTACGTAAAATTTGTAGAAACTGTGAAGAGATCTTCGAGAAATCCCAAACCCTGGAAAATTAATTATTATTGCTCTTGAAAAATTTGAAAAAATCCAGGATTGATTCTTTCTTTTTTCATAAAAGTCGTAAAAGAATCCACAACTAGAGGTCACTGTTGCTTTCAAGGAACTTTAAAAATTCAAGACAAGAGGTCTGTTTTTGTCCTCAAAAAACCAAGATTAAAAGCTTTTCTTGGTCCACAATAATCTTCTCATCTGAAAATCTTAAAAAATCGACGGCTAGAAGGCTCTCTTAGCCCTAAACTTCCTTGGTAAGATCTCTCACTTGGTACTAAACTGTTTTAAATATCCACCACCAGAGGATTCTTAGTCCTAAAACAACTTAAAAAACCCGACAACGAGAAACCTCTATTATTGTCCTCAATATTTCGCGGCTAGAGGTCTCTCATGGTCAATGATTGAGAACAACGAGGGACCTCTAGTCGTGGACTTTTAAAATTATTGTCCTATTTCGCGACTTAGAGGTCTCTTCTAAAAACTCGTAAAAAACATTAAAATTCAGAAGAAGGGTCTCACTTAGTACCAAACAGTTGTAAATATCCACCACTAGAGTATTCTTAGTCCTAAAAAAATAAAAATAAAAACAATACAATTGAGGACAAGGAGAGACCTCTATCAATGTCCTCAATATTTCGCGACTAGAAGCCTCTCATGCTCAATAATTGAGAACAACGAGAGACCCCGGACCGTGGATTTTTGAAATGATTGTCGTCACTATTTCGCGACTTGAGGTCTCTTCTAAAAAATCTTAAAAAAATGACTTGAAAACAACCTAGGAACACTTGGACTAGAAGTCTTTAAACTAATTTTTAAAAACGAATGGTAAGAGGACCCGTAGTCCTTTGAAAATTATTACGAAATCCAAGAACATAGATATTTCAGGTCTTGAACATTTTTTGTTAAAACTCAAGAGAAGAGGCCTCATTTGGTAATAGACAGTTATAAATATCTATCATTAGAGGATTCTTAGTCCTAAAAAAAATTAAAAAAAATAATCCAATTGAAGACAACGAGAGACCTCAATCATTGTCCTCAATATTTCGCGACTAGAGGACTCTCATGGCCACTGATTAAGGAAAACGAGACACCTCTAGTCATGGGTTTTAAAAATGATTGTCCTCACTATTTCGCGACTAAGAAATCACTTCTAAAAAATTTAAAAAAAAAATGTCTTAAAAAACAATCACGTAACACTTTGACTATAAATCTTGAAACTAATTTTTAAAAATGAAAGGTTAGAGGGCCCATGGTGCCTTGAAAATTTCTACGAAATCCAAGAAAAGAGGTATTTCAGCTCTTGAACATTTTTTGTTAAAATTCAAGAGAGGAGGTCTCATTTGGTAAGAAATAGTTATAAATATCCATCACTAGAAGATTCTTGGTCCTAAAATAAAAACTTGAAAAAAAATTCAATCCAAGTGAGGACAACCAGAGACCTCTATTATTGTCCTCAATATTTCGCGACTAGATGTCTCTCATGGTTCTAAAAAATCTTAAAAAAACATGACTTGAGGAACAATCTAAGGAACACTAAGAAATTAAAGGTAAGAGGACTTTCGTATCGGACCTACTATCTTTATAACAGAATTTGTGTTGATCCAAGTCTGAATGGAATCGGATGCAAAATTTCGCGTTTTATTTAATTTTTAATTTTCACCCTTCGTGGGGGAGGTACCAGATGGAGTGGACCGATATATCCCATTTTCACAGCAGATCTTGTGTTAGTAGAAATAATGAAATGTGTAAAATATAAAGAGAATCGAAGGATTAGTTAGTTTTATTTATTCGAAACTTTGATGCTTTGTGGGGGGAGGTACCAAATAGAATGGTCCGATCTCTACCATCTTGATAACAAATCTTGTGTGGATAGAATATTGAGATGTAGCAAGTCTGAATGGAATCTGATGTTAATTTCCCGTTTCATGAGCTTCATGAATATACAAAATTTTGACTCTTTGTGTGGAGGTACCAGAAGGAGTAGATCGATATATTCAATCTTCACACCAGACTTTGGGTGAATAAAATATTGTGATGTGTGTAATTTGAAGACAATCGGACTCTTACATCACATTTTATACATTTTGATCCTTTGTGTGGGAGGTACTCGATGGAGTAAACTCATATTGTCCATTTTCGCACCTGACCTAGTCCTGTTGCAAATATTAGGATTTGCAAAGTTGAAGCAAAATCGGATTATCCTTTCTCTTTCTGTGCAGTAAAATATTTTTTTTTTGAAAATTTCGTCGTTTTTCAAGGGGGGTATCAGATATATGGACAGACGGACCTAGATCGACTCCAAATGTCCAGAAACTCATAGTGACTTAAAATCCCTAAAGGAATCGTAAAAAATATTTTTTTTGCTTAAATTGATAAATATTCTTAACACACCTAAAATAATGAAAAATATTGAATATGTTGAGATCTTGAAAAATTTTAAGAAAAAACGACGAAACTTGTGAAGTTAAATTTAAATCCACAATTTTAATACTCTTTATTCCCTAAAAAGAAATTACTATGTTCCCTTGCTAATTACTCTTTGAATAAATTTATATTTATTCTCTCAGTCAAATAAATACATCAATCACTTGAGAGCTCCACTGACCTAGGCTTTTGTTTGCATTTCTGTGCCCTCCTATGAACTCCCCCCACTCTCTCTCTCTCACTCACCCTCTCTCTCTACCCCTTTCGTTTTTAACTCAAAATTCAAACGATCAACAGAGTTCAAAGTTATTAATTCAATTACAAGCTCCAGCTGACAGTCACAGCCATTTACAATGCACACACACACACATACATACATATGATCGAAATGACTTTTATTGGTATGTGATGACGTTGTTGCTGTAGCAAGTAGTTGCTGTAATTGCAAATCTTTCTTTTGTTATTCAAAAAGACAAAGAAGAAGATGAAGACAAATAATGAACTGTTATCATAATGAAGTAATTACAATTTGCCGTCGATCTCAAAGTGAAAAAAAAATTCAAAGATTTCTTCAGACACAAATTTATGCAAACTTTAATTCCAATCGAGTTGGAATTGAAAGTGAAATCTCGGGGTTGATAATGGCAGAAAAAAATGTTGTGATTATGCTCGCAATTAGTTGTTGTAATTTGCTGATGCTATTGTTGCAAGTTATGATAATTGTTGCAAATTTTTGCAAATTATTGGAGAGTTTCTTTGTCCCCTACTAATTATCTTCGATTGAGGTTTTACCAATGACGATATGATGTGAGGGAACGGAATGGGCTGGCTCGATAAAGAAGGATAGTTCTTTCAGCCATTTTTCAAAAATTTTTTTAAATTTGTCAAGGATTATCAGAGCTACAATTTATACGAGCTGTAATCGAAGATTTTTGTGGCATATGTTTCTTCAGGCGTTTCAAGGATTTTTTTAAACATTTTCTTTTAAACTAAGCTAAGGAAAAAGAAGTGGATTTTTAAGGTCTATGTGAGCTATAAGTGCGAGTTTTTAATAGCGATTTTTTTATGGATTTTTGCCAGGACGATCAAAGCTATAATAATAGACTTTAGAGGACTATTTAGTCTGATTTTGAAAGAATTTTTTTCGAAGATAATCAGAACCGTTGTTGTAGATTTTTAATACATATGAAGTTATAGAGAGACATTACCTTTAGGATATTTTATGGGGGTCTACTTGAGACTTTTGAAGTATCTTTTCAAAAACCTATCAGAGATGCTATGATATTTTTTCGAGGATGTGTTCAAGGACTATGCAGCTGTAAGCTTGAGTTTTTAATGGCGATTTCTTAATTTATTTTTATTTCTAGGACGAACAAAGCTAGGTTTTGCTGAGGATTTTTAAGAATTTTTTGATCAGTTTTTTAAGGGGTTTTTTTCGAAGTCGATCAGAGCTATAGCCGTAAATTTTTGATGATTTTTTTTAAAAGGCGTCAAAGACAACCCAATCTATAATCATAGATTTTTTAGTAAATTTTCGAAACATTTTCAAAGGACGATTAAAAATGTAATCTTGACGATATTTTATTCAGGACTCTTAGAGATTTATGAAGTTTTTTTTTTTAACAATCAGAGCTAGAATCATGGATTATTAAACAATTTGTTCAAGGACTAATTAAGGAGTTGTAAATAATTTTTAAGGACTTTTATTTTCAGAAAAATAAAAACAATAATTGTGAAATTTTTAAGGATTTTTTCCAGTACTATTTTGGCAAAATTTTGAATAATTCTGTCGAGGACAATCATCAATCAATCGTAAATTGTTAAAGATTTTTTTCAATGGCTATCTGAGCGGATTTTTGAAGAATTTTTTCGAGGTCGATTAAAATATATTTTTCAACCATTACTTGAGCTGATTTTAAAGAATAATTTCACGATGATCTGTATGAAGCTTTTTTTGGAGACGATCAAAGCTATGGCCTGATAAGATTTTGGATGTTTTCGAGGACGATTGAAAATATAGTCATTGCGTTTTTTATGGACTTAGCATTTATGGAGTAGCATTTTTCCCAGACAACCAAATATATAGCCGAGGATTTCTGAAAAATATATTTAAAGACTACCTGAGCTAAAATTTCGAGTTTTGAAATGATGTAATTTTAAATTTTTGCAAAGACAAACTTTAGAAGAAAGTGTTCGAAGGATCGTAC